TTTGATAATCATCTTCAACATATGATTGTTTTCGTTTTAATCCAAAATTGTTTTGTGAATCTCTATATGGATTTGAATAAGGATTTTCATCATCTGAAGAAAAATCATATATTACTTCTGCGTCATTATCATCTGAATTATTTTCTATTTCTATATTATTTTCTTGAGTTTCAGATGGAATTTCTAATGCTGCAAATAATTTAGTTAGTGTTTCTACTTTTTCTTGTAAAGTTTCCATATATATTGTGTGTATTAAAAATAAAATTTTTAGTTTCTTTTTTCTAGTGAAGTAGTTGTTTTTTCTATCATATTTAACAAATTAATTTTGTTATTTTATCTTCAAGGTTTTTTATTTGTTCTTGTTTCCAATTTATACTATTATTTATTATATGTATTGCTTCAATATTAGATATACAATTTATCATTGATATGTCAGAATCTATTTTTAAGTCTAAAAGAAATTTTTTAGATTGTTTCAATGTTTTACGAAAAAATTTTAATTCTTGTTTATTTGTATCTAGACTTGAAAAACTCATAATTATAATTTTATAATAATAATGGTTTAGTTTCGTAGTAGTGGTAATTATAATAATGTTTAAAAGACATACGTTTTAAAATACAAATAGTTTTGTTTTTAGACGACGTGTTTGCTTGTAACGGATTTTAATACTAGTTCTTATGAAATATCTAACATCATGAATATGGTTATTATTTAAAATCGTACCTTGATTATTAGGTTTGTAAGAATCCTTGAGATTTTTCTTAGAATTATTTATAGATTCTTGGATTTGCTGTATTCTTAAAATAATATTTCTATTAGGAATACAATTCATCAGAATTTTGTTAGACATAAATATATATTTCAAGCATGAATTTGATTAATTTGATTATTAAGAACGAGTATTATTTTAATAAAAATTTCAAATTTTGTAGAATTAATAGTTAAAATAACTCGGAATGAGATTATCATGGAGAAATAATATAACAATTGAATAGAATATCTTGAGACATATTTATGATATTAAATCTTCTTTCGATAATTTTTAATTGTTTTAATAATGATGATTTTTTGAATATGGGTACTTAAAAATAATGATTATTTATTTTCATGTTTATGATGCTTATCATTTTTATGATGTTGCATATATTCTTATTAACGATAGATTGAATATGCAAACTAATAATAAGAATAATAAGAACGTTACTTAGCTCTGATACCAAATTGAAAAGCTTCTTTTGATATTTTATCTTCAATAATGTCTTCTTTAATAATGGCTTTTTATGTCATTGCTTACGTCATTCTAGTGTCTGAGCCCGGGTGATATATTAATATCACTGTATACTTTTGTGGTGTGAAGCTGGTCATAGGTTTTTGTGGTGTTAGGAGAACTGTTTACACATCACTCTGCTTTATTCACTAAGGGCAAAGCCCTTTATATAGGCTCCAAAGAGCCGTTTACACACGGTATCTTTACATTATTGCAATCGTATGATTGCAAGAAGACAAACTACTTTACATAAGACTTTATGTCACATTATAATAATGTTACACACTTATTGACACTCTACATAATTATAAAAGACACACGGTATCATGTTTTTTGACATCGGCCATATGCTGATCTGGACCATTTACGGCGGTAAACACCACGCCAGACTCACATTTTGACCGCCGGTATAATGCTGATGGTAGCTTTCCACCGCCCACTCTCTCTTCTTTTACCATTCAAATTGCCCTTTTTTTTTTTTTTTTTTTTTTCTATTTCCTTCGTTAAACACATACACCACACCCTAACAATTAAATTTTTTTTTTACCATGTCCCATCAGGCTAGGTGGCACATGTTACTGGTGGTAGGACACGTTGAGCTTAATTAAAAAACGTAAAAGAGGCTGCAATAACTGTTTAACAAATCTGTGTTTATAAAATCCTTGTCATATCGTCCATCTTTGATAGTAAGAACTAAGAAGTAAGCGATTTCATATCAGCTTCATCCATCGCTCGTGGGTTTAGGAGAAAAAGAGAAATAGATACATGACACTAAAGGTATATGCCGATCGGTTCTCCCAACCATGTCGTGCGATTCTCATCTTCTGCAAGTGAGTAACTTCACTTCCTTTTTGTTTTTATTAAAGCAACTTTTGCATGCTTTCCTTGATTTCCATAGTGATTGAAATTAACAAGTGTAATCTAATTACTGGTCTATCGTGTTGCATTCTACAAAGTAATATAGTAAACCAAACCCACAAATCAGGAACTAATTAGCTGAATAGTAAACACCAATCCCATAAACTTATATATTAAGTCAAGTATATATCAAACCCAATAGAAGGTTGAAAGCCCTAAATATTAAAGGGTGTACCACACTACTCATTGAAAGCCCCAAATTGTAAATCACACTGCTCATTTCTTCTTATCAATCTCCGATTTTGAGTTAGGGATTGACAAACAAGGTTTGTATTGTTTCTGTTTTTATCTCTCTTTTAATTTTCAAAAGTCTTACAAGTTACAAGGGAAGAACGGAAGAGATATGTTGTTTTTTAAAAATCAAAAGAGTAAAAATGTGAAGGGCAAGTACGGTATCATCATTCTGAAAACAAAAGCTTTAGAAATTGGCGCTCAGTAATTTAAAAAAAAAAATTATATCTTTGTATTAACCGTCAAATACAGAGCTGTTTAATCCAATATACAGTTTTATAAAATTTTTAAAAGTAAATAAATACTTAAGTTAGCTATCGTAATTGTTAAAAGAAATTTTTTTTGTTGGGTTGTGCTCGTTGATATTTCTTCTAATATAATAAAATATATTCATACTAATTTTAAAAATTAAAAGCGTATATTTGGTATTGAAAATCAGACAGAGTGACTAATAATAAGAATATGTACTGTTTTTGTTTATGAACTTTAATTTCCTATTTATCTGAATATCCTTATTCTAATAAATAAATAGATTTATTCTCCTATTGACAAATGTCATTATATTAGACCGCATCATTAATATTAAATGTCTCATATTATGTCACTTGTCAACATATTAATTATTCATTTCAAATTTCAAAATTTAAATTTACCATCGTAATTACATTAAATTTTAAACTTTTTCACTTTAATTATATTAAATTAATAACATTAGATTAAAAAACAAAATAAAATTTATACAGATTATAAAGTGATATAACTTCACGTATTTATTTAAATCAACGATTATAATTTTATATAATAAAAAAAAATATCTTTTAAGTAATAATAATTTTTTTAAAATAATTGATTAATAATTTTGATTTTTTAATATGAAAGTTTAGTTAATTTTATAACCGTGGTTCTCACGGGTTATAAACTAGTAATTTATATATATCTCGAAACCTAAAGTGAGGCTCTAATAATCATCACCAACGTTTTTATGATTTACTAATTTGGATATCCTATACTAATAAAAAAATAGTTATTAGTGCCATTTGTTATTTTTCTTATAATTCAAGTTTTTTTTTTAATTCTCTATAAAAATGATACTTGTCATTTTCTCATTATTTTTTATTTTTTTAAAAAGTATTGACGTTGATAATAAGTTAAACAATTATTTATTTTATTCCTAATTTTTAGAAGAATTTAAATTCTTCTTGAACAAATTTCGGTTATAATTGACCATAATTAATTGTATTTCTATATTGAAAATCCTACAAAATCATGTTTATTAATAATTTATTAAAAAATAATTGATTAATAATTATGAGTTTTTTGTATAAATATTTAATTATTTTTTGTAACTGTGGTTCCCACGGCCTATAAGCTAGTTAACTGATAATTAAATTTTTAAATATTGCTATTATAGATAATAGTTATTAACGGATTGTTAACAAGAAAAATAATATTCTTAATGATGTTTTAAATTAATTGTTTCGTTATATATTTTTGGTAGGGCCTTACGCCTTGTTCCCGAGTTCTGTTTAAGGAGAGAAATAGGAGGATACGGAGGGAAAGTGAGGGGTGGCGAAGAAAAACCGTGTTCCCGAGTTTCATTAATGGAAGGAAAATGAGGGGAGGGGAAGGATTTTGGAGTCATATTTTCCTTCCAAATTTTCCTCCCAAATTGGGCGGATTTGGGAAGAAAGTGAGGGGAAGGAAAATTTCAAGTTTTATTTTCTTTTTTCCTCCTAACTCGGGAACACAAAACTTAAAATTTTCCTTTCATTTCCTTCGAACTCGGGAACACGGAATAATGAATATTTTCATTTACCTCCCTTTCTTTCTGTCAAAATTTTCATTCCCTTTCCTTTAATGAACCTGCGAAAAAACTCGGGAACAAGGCGTTAGTTCTACTGTTTGTATTTTGCCCCTGAATCTAAAAGTATAATCTGACTAAGGATCTGTAATTTATAAGGGTAAACTAAAAATTTAATCAAATCCTGAGTTTTCCTGTTGTTCGTGATTAAGGTAGTTCAGCATTAGCAATTAGCAAATAATGTCGTTGTGTTTTTTAGTCTAATTTTCCATAAGATCTTTCTTTGATTTTGGTTAGTTGCTATTACTTTCTTATGTTAGTGGTGACCATAGATGAGAAGCTTAGTATTATTTATATGGTTTACTTATAATGAGCATTTATTCTTGGCATCGATTGAGAAGCTTAAATCTAGAGTACAATTTAGGAAACATGTGGCTCTCGGGTGGATTTATTTTTTGTTTTTTTTTAATTTTTCTTAGTCATTTGTAAGTAAATTAGTTGTACTTTATGCGTATCTAATTTATTGTGGTCTTTCTCTCTTGATGTATTTATAAAGGATAAATGGGATAGATTTTGAAGAAATCACAATAGAGGTCCTGAAACTTCAGCAATTCACTCCGGAATATAAAGGTTTGTTTGGAAATCATCACACACAGTCACACATCCATCTAAATTCTAATTCAAAGTGGCTCCTTTCAATTAAAAAATTAATAACTTTCAAAAATATAACATGGATTTTTTTTTAATTTTCTCCTGTTATGTCTTATGCAGAAATAAACCCAATGTCAGAAGTTCCAGCAATCATTGATGGAGGATTCAAGTTGTTTGAGAGGTAGTTTAATTTCGCTTTTTATTTCAACTCCTTTATCATGAACAATCTTATGTGCATTCATTTCTATTGTTTATGTAGTATGAACAATTATGGTTGAGGTTGGCCCAAATGTAAAAATTCAGATAAATTAAAACACATCCCTACAAATTTACGAAGCTTGTATATTGCTACAAGTGTTTTTCTGAGTCTATAAAAAAATACGTAAATATTCATAATGAAATATTTGAAATTTGCTTTTCAGTCATGCTATTCTTATCTACCTAGCTTGTACAAATCCTGGAGTCGCAGATCACTGGTGAGTTTGTTGTTTATTTCCTCTTGAGGAAACTGCACTTCATGTTCGAATATGATAATATCTATTATCACTAATACGTTGGCTAATATCTTTTATCATTGCACCACTGTTTACATAGGTATCCTGTTGATATATTCAAAAGAACAAAGATCCACTCTATCTTAGACTGGCATCATTCCAATCTCCGTCGTGGTGCAAGTAATTCAAACAATATTAACCGGTGTTTGGATGTGGATTTTGTCAAATACTAAACATCTTAAAACATTAATTATAACTTCAAGCACTTGAAATTATTCAATAAGTATCCCATGCATGCCCTATGTTCTACTATAATTTACTTTATGATTTAATCAATCAATATCACATGATATTTTTGAAACACACATCCAAACAACCAAGTATAGTCTTAAAACCAAAATTGATTATTCTTAGTTGTATTAGTGTCATTTTAGAACGACTTTATTCTTGCAGCTGGACTTGTATACAATACGATACTAGCCCCTTTATATGGATTACCTTCGAATCCTAGAGCAGCTGATGAGGCTAAGAAGATACTTCCCAAATCTTTGTCTATATTAGAGGACTTTTGGCTACAAGGACCCGGCCAATTTCTGCTTGGAAACTCTGAACCATCAATAGCGGATATCAGCTTAGTATGTGAAATCATGCAACTAGAGGTAAACACATTAAGTTGATAACCTATTATCACCAAAAATCTACCATATGTTCTTGTTTTTGGCTCACTCCAAATCAAAACCAAACTTTTCTTGTTTTCAGTTTCTAAGTGAGAAGGACTACCGTAGAATATTAAGTCCTTACAAGAAAGTTTTGCAGTGGATTAAAGATACAAAGAATGCTACTGCGCCTTATTTTGATGAAATCCATATGACTCTGTTTAATGCTCAAAAAGGAATCCGAGAGCAGATGGTCACACAATCAGTTAGTATCCCCGAGGGTGGCAGCAAAAGTGAACTGTATTCAGAGATGTGAGGGACGAAGAATAAATTTCCAAAACTCTATGGTTGGATATCACCTCCTTTCTTGTCCTTAAAGAAGATGATCTTTTCTCATAAAGTCGTTTCATGTATACCTAAATAAATAATGGTGATGGAAGGTTATATTGTAAGGGTTGGAAGAAATGTCCACTTTTTGTACTCTACAAATAATCGTTTGTAGTGGTTCCATAATAAAGCTTTGAAATTTCATTCCTAGATGAACTTGATTTCATGACTTCAATGACATACATAATGAACTTATGAATTTTCCGGTAAAGGATTTAACTATAAACCCAAAAAAATGTTATGCTGTTAAGTATATATTATGGTTACATATAATTAATATATGAGAAAGAAAATTAGGAAACACATGATTAGTATGATGGAACATTAAGATTTGATAGTCATAAAAAGCTACACAGTATTATCATGGTGTAAAACATTAAGTTTCAAACAAATAAAGTAATGTTATTGAGATATGTGTACACAAATAAAATAAATTACTATATACTCAAAATGATGAATAAGTGTGAACCGTAATTAATAAAGCAATGATTTGAAAAAGTATCATTCTAATTTAAAATTAATAATTTAAGTGTTTTTATCTATTTGAATTCTACATAAAACTACATACAAGTGATATGTGTGAAAAATGGTTGTTTGAAAAATAAACCAACGTTTCACAATGATTGTAATGAACTCTTGTTTACGGTCATAGCAAAACAAAAGAAAAATGAAAGTTATAATCTTCTGAACTTGAATAGATTTATTTTATGTGCAGGAGATAAATACATTCTAGCAATAAAAGCCTAGTAGCAAAATAATACTTCTAGATACAATTACTGCATCAATAACACAATTACCATATGCAATTACCTGAACATAGATATCCCTTTTCTTCTCCTAGATACAACACGATAGTAAACAACTGTTTATTTCACGATCAGTTTCATTTTTTGGTACAAGTATAAGCCTTTCCTCGAAAAAAGTTAGAGTATTGTAGTTCTGAAGAATAGAAGGATACACGAACTTAGTTAATGAACATATAAGAGCATATGATTGAGTATTGAGAAAATCCTCTGGAATATCTATAATTGCATCATCATCATTGGAACACCAAATTTGCTTTCTTCTATATCAAAAAATCAAATTTCAAATAACCATGTATTTTCAATATCATAAGGATCACTCCCTCCGGACAAGCTTATGTTTTTGATTAAGTTGGGGAATTTACATTTATCCTAGATATATAAAGAACTTCAAGACGAATTCACAATGTTTTCTCTACTGCTGTAAGGAACAACCAGTAGAATTTGTCTAAAATCTCATCCAAAAACCATCACTTTTCATTTAGTAAATCTAAGTTGATATGATCATTACAACTATAAATTTTTTTTATTGTGCTATCTAAAGCTTCAAATACATGCCTATGAACCATCTATGATTCATTCTAGATAATTAGATTTTTTTTAATATTCATGACAAATCATTATCTGGATTTATACAAAAAATAGAATCTTCAATAAGAATCAAAGGAATATGAAAGCGAGAGTGTGTCTTCCTACCTTCGACCACCAACAAAGAAGAAATATCATATGAAGCAACATTTAAAAAAATGACTCAGATCGAATGGTTCCCGATAATGTCTTCCAAACAAAGGTTATATATTAGTTCCACAATAACCATAAAAAAAAAACCACATTTTTTTATCTTTAACTATTGTCATTATGTCATCAACACATATCTTTGTATAATGATTACTATCGACAAAAGCTCAACAAATTTGTTTTGTAGACATGTCTTGCTATAAGTTAGCTCCTTAGTAATCAACCGTTTGTTCGAAGAAGATACATTCGAAAGGAATATTTGTAAAAAGTTATTTTGGTTAGAACTATTATGAAGTAAAATTCATTCAATCTCCAACATTGATAGGTTCTTAAGCTAATGTTCATTAAGTGATAGACATGTAGAATATGTGATATAAACTTTAAACTTTGACATTAATGTTTGTGCAAATAATGACATTAACGTTTGTGCAAATAATGACTGTAGATAGTAAGTATGTAGAGCATGAGACACTTGCTTCCTTAATATTTTGGATATATTCCTTGTCATTATTTAAAAGTCTTAGAGAAAAACATGGATCTCTAAATGTAGGACAATTTTATCCTTTCATGGTACAAATTTCTTCAAATGATCTAAGCCATATGACATTATTTAGAAGAATTCTTAAAAAGATAAGTTTCACCAAGAGTAGGGAGAAACAGAATGAGTTATACCAATCGAAAATCCCTTTTTCTTGGAACCTAACTATTGTTTTCAATTTTCCATACAAACTATGTAGGGAATTTAGCATAAGCAAGTGTTTACGTGTGTTCATAGATTTGGTACTTTATCCAAGATAAAATTGATGGGTTTTATAGGTTACAAGAACTATGTGCTTTCATAATTTTACTTAACACTTAAGGGTACATGCAACCTAAAGTATCTATGTCATATATTTTCAATGCAACATACTGTAAACAACAAAAACTAACATGAACCCTAATTGAAAAAACTAGTATAATCAAAACACAAGAATTAGGGTTACATATATTTGATTTGTTGCAGTAAAACAAATCACTTCAATCCTTCCTTTGAAGAGCTTGGAAAGCTAACACCAAAAGTATGATTCCTCTAATGACTCACACCCAAACCCAAGAACTAGAAGACAATTGAGAAGAGATGATGAGAGAAAAATTCCATTTCTATGACTTATGGGATATGTATGAACGAAATTAAGGGCCCAAGCTAACACCAAAAGTATGCATTTGCTTTGTGGGAGGCCACATCACAATTTTTACTATCCGGTTGGTTTTGGTATCGAAGACACCTTTGAATTTCTTTACAAATGAATATGCGGTCTTCATTCCATCGAACTGCCTCCATACTTGATTTTCTAAAAAAAGCTTGAAATCAGATCCGCGAGGATCATTCGATGGATTGTGGAATGGAGCTTCAGCAAGTTCTGTAAGGTCGACTTTAGTCCAAGAATTAAAGTCATTTTTGCGTTCATAGTACTCAACATTTCCACTTTTCCTCTTAACCACCCAGATATTTAATTTATCATGAAATCCCCACATCAAAATTCCAGACCGGTCTCCGTACTTGATTTTGAACCGCTTTTTCCCAAGCTCAGCCACACTCAGTTGGGGCAGATCTCCACGAACATTTTTATCAGAATTCTTTATGAAGAGCAGATTCCTTTTCTTTGTGTAGAGACTTGCGTTTGAGCTCGCTTCAAAGTTACTCTTGGAAAAGTTTCAGCAGGTTCATTTTCAAAACGATCAAGAATACGGTTCGTTCTAACAGGTTGAGAGGCATCTTGTGGATCTTGAGCTGCTTGGGCAGGCGCACAATGGGAAGCCTCAGCTTCATTTGGTTCACCGACCGATGTTTTGAATTTGTCGCAAATTTACTTATCAACTTGTTCTTTAGCTCGAAATAGCCTGTAGTTAAAGCGCCAAGATTGAGCTGCAAGTCGGAGATTTGTTTTGATTTTTGTGCATTTTCATTCTCGAGCTCGGAAACTCAAATATCCAGAGTTCCAAACAAAACATCCTTTTCGATAAGATTTTGATTCAGGACTCCAATCTCCTCCTTGATTTCAAAAATGGTTGTGTCTTCTTTTGTTAGAGCTCCCTGCACCAATAGATATTCCTTTGCCCCGTGGTGCAGGATCAACACCTTCACGAGCCAAAAATATGGCAAGCCATTTAGAGGCTGCATCGTGCGCATGTTGAGGAGTTGAAGAGCCACCAGGAGTTGAAGAGCTCCCGACTTCAAAGGAGGAACGAACAACACTTGGTCCTTCATTCAGGACTTGACTATCCACATGAGTCAGTTAGGCAGGTGTAACGGCTATAGAGTATTAATTAGTAGGTTGACCTTGTTCCCTAATCAGCACTCCCCGCCTTGGATCTTCTCTTTTTCTTTTGAGTGGAAGCTGGGAGGCTTGTGTCTCTTGAAGATCACTCTCAGATGGTGTGATGGTTAGAGTAGCAACTGGTCGGGGAGGAATCCTCGCAGTTGAATCCAGATTAGCAATAACGTTGTTCATCTGATCGGGTGTTTGAATTGGCAGCTTGAGAGTGTTTGAATCTCCCCGAGTCTCCGTTGAAGAGATTACAACATCATCAACATTGTCAAAAAAACGAACTGAGGTCGTCATTTTTAGGCTCAAAATCAAAGAATAAATCATCATCATCAAAACTTGATAAATCACCTCCTTGATCCATTCCAACTCCATCATCATCCCTATCATCATCAAAACCTAGGACATTATCCCCTAAATCCATCACAACATCACCTTCATCATTATCGTCATCAACATCATCAGTAACATCATCGTTATCATCAACATTGATTATTGGAACATGTTCCTCTGCAATAATTGCTACTGGAGGTGTCTTCTTCCTGATCAAAAACAATAACTTCTTCATCATCTTCATCATCTGAGGCTTCATCTGATTCTGAATCCTCAGTAATTTCAGCAAAACACCCAAAATTCTCTAAGGGCCTCGATCCTTTAAACACAAACTTTGAACCCTTGCGGTTCTACTTCATCACTCCAAAGGTACTTGGACCTAAGGACTTCAGATCCAAAGTGTTACCTTTTCTTTTCAATTGTAAATATTGATCGTCAAAAATCATCTGAAGAAACCTTGGATACATGAGAAATACGTCCTTTTTCTTACACTGCAAATTGCTCTTCATTTTATTTAACACATACTTTCAGAAGTTGAAGTCAAAGTTCATGACAAGAGCAACTATGGCGCCGGTATTCAACAAAGAAATCTCAGATGTACCTCCTTACCTGCCAGAGATGCAAATAACAAAGGAGTGGGCAAGAAACCGCCAATATGGAGGGAGCAACTACTTTATTGTAGTAGGGAAAGTTCCTTCATAACCCATTCTATCAAGGACCTCCTTGATCTGATCCATGGGAATTTCAAT